GTTTCAGATCTTCAAGACAGCCACTCACATGACGCATCATTTCATCTCGCTAGACCTCTCCAGCACCTGTCTGCCTCTGAAGATCGGTCAAGTGATCCTGCAGTGATGTAATGCCTCCCATTTGGAACTGGACGGCTCGCGCCAGCTGATTTGACCGGCCCTCCAAGTCACTAGCAACTGCATGCATTGCATTCCTCAAGTGCTCAATGTCTGGCATTTGCCCCAACTGCAAATGATGCTATTGTAGCTGCTGCAACATCTGCAACCGTTCTTGGGGAATCACGATTTGAGACATCTGCTGGAGACGAATGCTTCCTGAGGAATCTGCATGGGCTGCTGAAGCGTGTTAAGCTGCAGGTTCGATGCTGATGCTTGCGAAGCTCCAAGCGCGAGGCTTGGGCTCAGAACCTGATGGTTATGGCCCGATTGTTGCGGAGATGACGAGTCTGTTATAATGCTGAAAGTCGGAGACGAGTTCTGCTGCTGCTGCTGCTGTCGTCAATTTTACAGCCGCGAAAGCACGTACATTACCCCTCGCTGATGGCCGCCGCGTCGAGGTACTAGCGAATCGACTGCCCCTGTGGCAGGGCACCCAGGCGGCCGTCGACACCACCCTGGTCCCGCCGCGTCTCGCCAGTTACGCGGGCGGGCGGCGCGCTACCACATGCCGATCGTGTCCCCGGCACGGCGCTTGAACAGGCGGCGAAACGCAAGCGCCTCCACGCATGTCCGGAGCTTGCGGTCGCGCGCCGTTGCAAAGTGGTTGTGCTCGCCCTGGAAGGCTCGTGCGCGTGAGTCCGCTGTGCAGCTGCGCCCGGCCGTGCAGCGTGCCTCCTTACACCGTTGGACGGGCATGCTGGCTGTGGCGGCGCAACAAGCAGCAAAGGACCTAGCCGCCTGGATCTGGGCTACCATCTCACTTGGCTGAAACAGCGACCGAGCGGGATGTACCAGCCGCGCCAAGGAGGAGGCCTCTTGAAGAGAAGGCCGTTCACCTTGTAGGCCAACCAACGATGCATGACTCTTGTTGTGGCTTGGTTTAACGAGATGGAGGTCACCCGAAGCAAGAGGCAGGACACCGCTCGTCCGAAAGCGCCACCAGCATGGCCCGAGCGCGATGCAGGACACAGGCTTCGTCGGCCACCGCGAAAGCCGAACAATCACAGACTGCTGCTGTCCCAAGCTGGGCCTTTTGCCGCCCGCGCTTTTGACGTCACGCCCACGTGGGATGATGTTACCATATCCAGTGCCCTGTTTCGTGTTCTCCTGCTGCGCCGC